TAAATATGTAGCAGATACCTGTACCAACTCATAAATATTGTATATGCAGCCGCTATAAAAACCTTGCAACAATCTGTATACATTTTAATTAATTATAGGATACTACACAATTAATTAAATCGGCAATTGTTATTTCGTAGATAAAGTCCGTATATCAATTAAACGACGGTTTAATGCGTTCCATTTGATAAAAACAAGCATAATTGCTTGGACAATCTGATATAAGAAAAAACACGAGTTCACGATAGTTTCGACTTTTTATTCGCGGAATATTCATTAGCGCCGATAAATAAATGTTAATTAAAAGTTATATTTAAATGGCTTTTGTGCTGCGAGAGTGGGACGCAGACCCTCTCTCGATCTTTCTAGTTTTATATTAATTCGAAAAAGAGTTCCTTCGTCCACTCCTCGCGTTTATTGCCGACAGTGGGACGAGAAAACGCTACTCTAAAACGTTACCACATGCAAATTTCATGCATAAAACCTCAATAATTACGATAGAACCGATACGGGGGGCGCTCGTTTACATCGTTTCAGATTCAGATATACTAACTGGATTTCGGAGTTTTTCTTGTTCCCGCCATTTGCATAAGCAAAGAAACTTTCAGCGGTAATTGCAGGAATCTCATAGGCGACTCGTTATTATACGCGCTACACCTTAAAACAAACATATACAGTGTGTCCCTGAATAGTGAAAAAATTTTGAATTTACGAAGAAAATTCGTTCCTTATTAAGTAAGTTTTTTTAATTAAATCCACACTGTTTTGGCGTGCGAGTGTATGTAAAAGTTTATCGAAAATCGCCTCCTCGACCAGTCTTGTAGCTTCAAAAACGTCAATAAATATCGAGATCAGTCCGAGATGACAAGATGTGATTGCCTTTAAATTAATCGGTCGTCAAACGGAGCTATTTATTAGATGATTATCGCTTGGAAGTGTTTATCTAATAATAAATAATATCGGTAGGAATTGGTGCGATAAACAAGGTTAGGAATTTTAAGGAGGCGTCTCATTATCCGCCTATCTCGTTCGATTGGGAGATTTTAATTAATTTCGGTTAAATGTTAATGCGCGATAAATTGAATAAAATTCCGCTGTAAGCTATAAAAAGTTTCCGAACAGTTTCCACGGGTTTCTTGGAGAAATTAGCCCGCAAATATATTATCCCCGGGTACAATATCCCGCAGGAAGCGAGCGCGGAGCCGAAAGTTGAACAAAGCTTTTTATATAGATGAGTTATTGCCCCGTATGTGGTTTTGTGTTCGGATAATAAATCGGCGATTTTTTTTGTATTATTCGCTTTTTTATTATTTTTCATTTTTGCTCTTTTTTGCGCGGCGAGAGAAGGGAATAAAAGGGAACGATGGGACGTCCGCCTGCATTTGTCACTTTTATTTTTCTAACTTCGCCCGGTTTTTGCATAATACCTGCGTATAAAGTGGCGGGAACTTTTCGCATAACGTCGGGATTTCATTGATTCATTTTTCCGGGCGCCGTTCGTCCGGAATAATAACAGAAATTCCGTAAATGTTTACTCTAAAGAGAGGAGTTTCACGTACAAAAAGAGTCCGCGCATTTTAATCAAGAAAATCAAACGAGCCCGATAAATTATCAATAATTCATTTATTCAAATAAACTCCGGCGGCTGCGTATACTTCTTATTTATTAAATTTCAACATCGATATTAGTTTCAAAATTTACAATTTCTGTGCTAGAGTGGCGCATAATAAAAATCAACGTCCTGCTAAGTCCTCAATGTTTACGACTGCATTTATTTAATTTATCGATAATTTTACCATCGGTACCGAAGTTGAGTACTACATTATGTAGAAAGTGGATAGTTAAATTTTTCTTCTACCTCATTTACTCACAGATCAGAACGGGTTTTCGACGCCTACTGGAATATTTAGGTGAATTTACGATTATTATATTAATATTAAATATTAATCGTGTTTGTTCGGGGAACGGTTCGTTTGGAAAGTAAACGATCTACCCCGTAGAATTGACGAGGATAATGCTCGATTATTGTTGGGTGGATTTGATGACGCGGTGCTAAATTTGGCCGATTCATCGTCTAGGAAACAGCTCTGTGATCTTTGAACCGGTTAATTTCGGCAAGCGGGAAGTCCCATAATAATCTCAGGATAATGATTCGCGTTGGAAGTATCAATTTTCGAGGATAAGGGCTTCATTAGATCCATACATTTCGATTGGGAAAATTTCGGAAATTCAATAACACACTATACACGAATCGAGCCTGATTCAAAAGCATTCTATTAAAAGCTATTATAAGCTTTCGGATACGGAGATTAAAAATTAATTTTATGCAAACCTTTTTTGCTCTTTTTCTAGAAACTTAAGTTTACGGCGCTTTCGTACATTTTTATTATCCACTTTGATTTTATTTAGTTTTTTGCTATAATTCAAACAACTATGTAGTCGTAACGATCGTTAAATAACATTACGAGTTGCTTAAATGGAGCGATTTCATTTTAATCACTCCGCTTTATTTCTTTGCTATCGGACTAATAAAAATGGGATTATTGTTTCTCTTCCCTATTGTATACTTCTGATGAAAATTCAATTGTAACTTAGTTTCTAATACTTTTGAGGTATTAATTAATGTTTACTAATTTCAATGGGTGATTCTTGAGCTTAGTTTTGGTAATATCGATATAATAATATCGATATTTTTGTGATAAATACGCATATACCATTCCACTACAAATTTTCAATAATCCATTAGCGCACAAATTCGCCCGCGCGGCGTTTTTAATAAAATTTTCCGTAATTGAAAAATGGCGAAACTCGCCCCGGCGGAATTTTTTTTGCACCTTGTTTTCCACATCATAAAAATTCATTAAATTCCTCTTCGATATAGAGATGAAACAAGAGGCAAAAATAGGATTCGGGATCCCGTCCGGCGACTCTTCATTCCCGGCAAAAATGACGATAATTCGCCGCAATTTTCTATGATAAACAAAAAGAAGCCGCAGCGCTAGAGATGGGACGGGCGCCGAAACGGAGCATAATTCACTCGAATAAATACCATCCAGGAATGAAATTACATATTTATTCTTTACGCGTATCCAACACACACATATATCCTTATCGGAATTTTAAGTACGAAAATTCGAAAAACCAGACACCTCGGACGAGCGCGAGAATTTCCGATATATAAATATTGAATGTAACACGTTCTCAAACGACAAATGAATGTACATATGTATGTATTATACGTATCCTCCTTGTACTTTATGGCGTATAAACATAAAGGAAGCGTTTTAAAGACGGCTGAACGCGTAAATAAACATATACAAGGCTGCTGGGAAAAAAAAAACATAAAAAAATTCCCGTGTATTACATGTATCGATTGCGAGCGCCCCGGGGATGGGCGACGGCGAAATGAAAGGTGATTCGATTCGATTCCCCGTAGCCTTAAAATCAACACATTTATTATTATTATTCCTCCAAGCGCACCTGATCACGTTGTCGATTTTTTTTTTCTCCACGAGCAGAGTAGGGTGGCAGATCGTCGGTAATTCGATTTCCGACGTATTGGCTTCTCGAGAAAAAAATATTTGTCTTTTATTTATTTTTTCTTCTATTACATAACGAAATTAACTAACGTATACCGATGGACGATTTTAATACAATAAAATTTAATACATCACTCTTTAGGGACATACTGTATATTAACTATGTATGCACTTAAAGCTACATTGTATCTAGTTTTATTACTTAATCGATTGCATTGTGCTTAGAAATACCAAACGATTCCTGGTAAAATAAATTATGTTTAAAATGTCGTTATTAAAGTAAAAAAACCCATCGATGGATGAGTTAATGATTAATTATTACTGTATTGTTTTAATAGACAGGAAAGAATGTTTGTATTGTTACTCGACAAACGTATATAAAATATTAATGGTGCATCTATACAGGATGTAATAAAAATCGAACAATTCGCAACTACTACTACTATATTGCATTAACGAATTAATATGTGGAGTTTCGAGAGTGTGCACGAACACAATTCGCAATTTATGGTAAATAAATCAAAATTTCCAGATAAAATCCGAACGGCAGAACGCTCTCGACTCTCTCCTGCTTTCTTAACGCATAAAGCAAGAGTTAGGAGTTGGCAAACTCGCGAAGTTGTTTACCGAAACATCGGCGAGAAAACATCCCGAAACCAAAAACCGTGAATATTTTACGGGAAGCTCTTTATATTGACCTAGCTCTCGCATTTCTAAGTTTCGTATATTAAATTAAGCAAAGGGCGCGCGGCGAAGAGTTAGAGAACGCCTCGGAAGAGAAAAACTTTCACCCTCCCAGGTGGAAATGAAACCGTTTCCATACACGTTCTCAACTCCACTTCCACTCGATTGAAATTGTTGAAATTTATCATCCACTGCACGAGAGAATTGAATAACGCACGCTCAAAAACTGATGATTAATTCGCTCGCTCAAAATTAAGATACTCGATAATTAAAAGCTCATCTCCGCTGGTCGTTATCCGAAATATCCATCATATAATTAACGCTATGCCAAGAGCACACACGTACGCATAAATACACACACACACACACACACATACTCATCAATTCGGATACGTGATGTTCCCACCCCTCATGCGGGGCTGCAAGGGCAGCGGCCTCTAATGAAGCCGTGAGGGCAGCAATTCAGCAATTGAAAGCCAAATAGTTGCTTATTATAAAGGAGATTAATGGCGGGGTAGCAACGAATGTGCCGCGTCAGACTCTAAACACACAGCGAATATTTTCTGAACCACAATTAGACCGGAATTCCCCACCAAAATTGTAGTTAAGTATCTACCTATACTTCATCCATCCAAGATTAGACGCTGGATCGACGCTGGATCAACGCAATAGATGCAAATGTGCTTGATGATCAAGCGTCTAAACCTTGTTTTGATTACTCCGTTGGTTGGATGCATGAAGTTTAGTTCTAAGTCTTCAAAAAAAAAGAAAACTTACATGCAACTTCGACGGTGGCGGGCTGGCTCCGGATGCTTCCTCTGCCGCTCCAAGCGTGGCATTCGCACTTGAATTTATCCTTGCCGAAGAACTCCTCGACCATGTCCCTGGTGACGTTGGCCTCGGCCTCGAAGATCCGGACGCCCGTCTGCGGATCGACGAACCAATTTTCGACGGTCTCCACCTTCTTGGCGCCGTTGCACTTGAAGTAGAGGCTGAGGGCGTGGGCGGCGCGGCATTGCAACGTGGCCGGCCGGTTTTTCACGACGAACGCGTGCTGGGGCTCGGCCAGGAAGATGGGCAGGTCGCTGTTGAGCAGCAGCGACTCTTCCTGGTCGGGCGTCGGTTTCGGCGTCGTTGGGTCCTCCAATAGAGCGCTATCTGTAACGAATATTTACATGGTGTATTGTATGAAAACAGAAGAGTATGTCAGTAATGCGAGAAAGAAAATATGTATGGATGGAAGAAGATATACCAAATATAATTGCACATGGTCTATTTACATGGTGTATTGTTTGAAAACAGAAGGGTAAGTCAGTAATGCAAGAAAGAAAAGATGTATGGAGGGAAGAAGATATACCAAATATAATTGCACATGGTCTATTTACATGGTGTATTGTATGAAAACAGAAGGGTATGTCAGTAATGCGAGAAAATATGTATGGATGGAAGAAGATATACCAAATATAATTGCACAAAAAGGAACAGCTGGAGGAGGAAGAGATGCAGAGAAAAAAATTCCAACTAAAGCCATTACTATAGGCTCGCAGTTGCTGTTGAGTGAACATGGAAAAGGCCTAATTGTGATGATACGCACAAGGTTTTAAGAGGATAAATTTTTTTAGTGTTTTTGTAAATTAGATTACGTGTGTCGGAATGAACGGAGCTTTTTGCGTGACGGTTTTTCCATTAAGCGCAAATTTAATTTGCGATTTTTGCAATGAAATTTTTAACGCGTTTTGCAAACAAAAATAGCGTTTGGTGTATATCATGCGCCGGTATGATCGAATCGTAAAAAAGCAATTATACAACTAATAAAAGAAGAAATAATTTGACCTTTTTGATAGAGCCTAAAATCCATCGACACTAAATTACGGTCACATAAAGACCGCGGTCGTAAATTATCGGGCCTAAAAATTTATGATTAAGAGTATAAATAAACCAGTTAATTTGATATGTGACCTCCCGTAACCCGGCGTCATCTGTCAACTATCCTAACGATTTAATTTATTTTCTCTCGCGTCGGAGACCGTTGAATGTGAGCCCCCGTATACGGCCATTCGTCATAACGAAAAACAATTATTTTGACTCGCGCATCTCCTTTTACTACACACGAGCGAGATAACAATGCCGATGGAAAAAAGAAGCGTCGTCTTGGCCTCGTTTTGGAGCGCGTTACAATTCATTTTCCCGTTTTCCCGACATCCAACGTGATGTTTTTCAGCCGTCCGTCGTCAGGCAATAATAGAAAAAAATTGCTGTTTATTTTCCAGGTTTCCTACACGGTTTTTTACCTCTCGGAAGAGATCACAATTTGTTTTTTTTTTAGAACTTTTTATTTTATGATACCTCTACGAGAATACACAAAATCGCAAATAAAAAGGATGAATTTAATCGAATACAATGATGAAAGGAGATTTTTGACAGGTCCCATTGCTTGCTTAGATTACTGGGAGATTGGAAAGGAGCCCCGGGACTAATCGAATCGACCCGAACATGTTCATCGAGATTGTAGATGGTTAGATAAGATAAACAGGCGAGTCTTTTTTTTTTCTTCTAGCAATAAAACAATCACTATTCGTGTGTACAAATAATGTTCCGTGGACTCGTTGGTTCTCATCGATTATTTGTTTTACCGTCATCTTTGCTTGCTGACCATTCGTTAACTTTTTATAGCTCGGCGGCGTTGCCAGTTGGTTTTTTTTAGGAGAAATACAGAAAGAGAGGGATTGAATTGAAGGATTAATTTTAAGATTTTTATGGTATTAAAATCGAAAGGAGGTTCGATAGAAGTTTATTTGAAAGCACGTTTTATATAGGAATAGAAATTTATTAATAAATGTAATAAAACCGGCAACAGTTCTGTACAAATTTCAATAACCGCCCATTATATGCAGCTCTTGTTTAAATAGACGAACTGTAATTTCGAAGATTCGTGAGAAGGATATTTTCTCTTTACATTCTAGTTAAACAAAAAAAAGAATGAATTTTTAATGAGGTTTTCAAGTATTTGCTCTCTTATTTCAACGGCTAATTATTCCGAACTTTCCTATTATTCCGGACTCTCACGTGCCGACCCCGAAAAATAACTGATTACTACCCCGTAATTTTTAATTTGCAAATTTAAATTCGACTCGGCTAATGCCCGTTTTTTTTTCTTCATCTCGTTTTTTCCTTTCGCCACTCGTAGGTAGCCTTTTGTTTAGGCCGTGATTTAGCGGCATACGGGGTTTCGGCTATGCCGTAATAAAAATGCAAATTAAGATCAACCTTTCTTGCCTTGCCTTGCAAGCAAAACAGGAATATATTCAGAGTCTTTAAAATTGTTGGTTCTTGCTGAATTGTCTCGAATTAACAGAATTGTAACCAAACAAAAATAAACTTTTTACAACCCTCTGTATATCTAAAACTAAGGAACTTTTCGACTCAAAATTAGCCCAAGAATCACCCATTAATACAGTACATAACATTAATTAACAGGTAATAGGAGAGACAGTTTCGTTTAGTATAACTACAGATATCCCAATTTGCTTAAAATTTTTTATCTCCATTCTCGAGAGAAAACAATTCCTTGTTATTCGTTAAATCACTGATTAAGCCTTTGTTGTCGATGTTAAATTAAAACGAACGGCTCCCTAAGGGCCTTTGCGCTGTTAGAAATGTACAAAATTAAGTCTCTCGGCCGGTCGTTAGGCTGGTTTAAATAAATTTTCTTTTCCAGCGCGGTCTCGCCGCTCATTTCTTCGAATTAATTAATGCGGAGTTGGAGTTCATCGGCAAAGGGAGCGCTCTTGACCGTTCATCACCATAGAAATTAATTATGCCACGTAATTTTAACATATTGTAACAATAAAATCGGTTTTTATACGGACTTCACAGGGATACCTTAATTGCGCCATCAGTCCACCTTTCCACCGCTTGATAAAAGTCGAATTAATAATTATACTAAAAAAAAAAACATATTAAAGAGTAAAATGACTATATTTTAGTAATTTTCAGTACAAATTTCGCAGTGCTTTATCTCGCATAACAACATCGAAGATCGAGTACTCTTCTACCATGAATTAATAGCAATCGATTTAACATTACGAGAACGTTATTTAAGCCGATCGAGCGCAGTTAGATGAGCCAGTTTTTCAACGATTAAAGCAAATTCGACGGTAAACGGGGCGCGTTTTCCCGCAGCAAAAGAATCCCGACCGCGGAGCGAGAAGAGGACACTCCGCGGCGCATTTCCCATGGCGCCTTTTACACATAACAATTAAGGTACGGTTGCATTACGAAACGCGTTTACTTAACATAAATTTACATGTTCAGCAATGCGATAGAGGCCGTTTTGAGACGACGCGCATGCATAACGAGCCGAATATGCATTATATTTTACTCGAAGATCCGAGCGTGCTGTATTAAACGTAAGCTTTAAGAGATAATTTAGATTTTTTAGTGCTACATCAACACTAGGAGGAATTTTCATACTTTTATTTTCTTCCATGTAGGTGTCATAAAGTATGATACCAGATATTTTAGACCCTTCATCGATACACCCTGTATAAATTGATCAATCGAAGCTCTATAGACTGTTTCAACTCATTAAATAACTCCTATATAATCGCCTTTTTCGATTTAAATCCCCTTATACGAAGCAATCCGGTTATTTCGACATCTTTTCCGGGAGTTGAAACATCGAACGTTGAAAGATCGAATCTGACGTTTGGAAAAACGGTTCCCGATAGAAAAGAGACTTTTCAATTGAAAGAGCAAGAGAAATCGGGTGGGGTAGATCGAAAGATAGACCACGCGCTTATTTCTTTCCTCTCTACTCGATATAGAGCTTGCTCCAAACTCAAGGTGTTCGTCAATTATGCAGCCCCGAATTGCTGATTCGAGTTTCCTTCGAATTAAATAGCTGCTCGGAGAGAGGTTTCGTCGAGAAAATACTCCATTACTCCGTGTAGTTACATTGTAGACCTTCCTAAATAAAACATTCCATACTTAAGAACCTATTGATTCACTTTAAACTACCAATTAACATTTTACTAAGCCTCATCAAACGTTGATAGTCAACCTCCTGATCCTGCTGTATATAAAATGAGTTGTCATTTCCTGCTAGTCGATAAATCAAAGGAGCAAAAATAAAAATCGAAGCCAATATGAAGCATCATCGCGGTCGGCTGGACGTGTGCGCGTATAAATCGCAGATAGCCGGTAATTGAAATATCCCTAATGGCGTTTCTCTGTAAACAATCGCCTGGTAGTCGTCGGGGGGGTGATCAGTCACTTAGCCGGATATAGGCGGGAGAATATGCGGAGCGAGAAGGTCCTCTCGCGGGAGGATATTTGTCTCCGAATGCCGGAATTTTATTACGGGCCCGCCGGCAGAGATAAAATTTGTATTCGTTTCCGTACGTGTGAATTTTTTTATATAAAATAGGGCGATATACAGCCCTTAAATGATAAGCGTCGCGTCGCATTAGCAAAACAAATATACGCAGAAACAATATCGAAATTAGTTGTCGATAATGTCAATCGACGGAAACAATTAAATTCGATGATTAAATTTCGGGCAGTGCTATCGCTGCATTGCAAACTTTGTAATTAATTCCATATACGTTTAGTACAGGGTAGTTCCAATTAACTCACATTAAATTATTACAATTATATTTTTACTATCTAATCCACACTCAAACGACTCTTATTTTCTCTATAAAAGAATAATTAAAATTTATAATATTAAATCTACTCGTAAAATGATATAATTCGAGCATTTCACACCCTGTAAAATATGCATTTAATATTTACAACATATCGCCAGTGCGTAATTCGGTTTTAGTGAATTTATTCCCGATTATTATCTGTTTACATTCAATTTCAGGGGCGCGTTTTAAAATTGAAATCGATATTTACGGCTAATCGTAATTTATGACGAACAATAACCGTATTTTAATTGAGTTTAATTGGTTTTTAGATATAATTTAATCGATATAATAATCGAACGGGCGATTACAAAGCGATAGCGGAAAATTCAATCGCAGTCGCATTGATTTAACGATTTATAAAATAGATTACGAGTTGATTGTGGTTTTGAAATTTATTTTGCTATATAAAAAAACGTTAATGCTTCATATTTTGTTTAAGAGAAACTATTATTAAGAAAAAGCGAG